CAGTGGCCGCTCCCGGCCACCGCAGCCTCGACCTGCTGGGCTCCGGCGATCCTTCCACCTCAGCCTTCCAAGTAGCCAGAATTACAGGCATGAGCTACCACGCCCGGCTGATTTTTTGATTTATTGTAGAGATGAGGTCTCACTGCCCAGGCAGGTCTCGAACCTGCGGGCTCAGGCAATCCACTCACCTCAGCCTCCCAAAGGCGCAGGATTACAGGCTGAGCCACCGAGCCCGGCTTGACTTCTTAATTTATAAGAAATGTCAAAGAATCTTGCACTTATGCACCAGGAGACATGTACAAAATGCTTATAACACTGTTCAAAGAAGCAAAATATTGAAAACAACCTAAACTCCCATTGTCAGGAGAATAAATTAGTGATGATATATCACCTAATGACATAAAATGGTGAAAATGAATGAGTTAGTTCTTGGTTTTGTGTATGTCTTTTAGCTAAACTACACATCCAATTTCCGAAGCCACATCCTGGTCGTGAAGTGAAGTTGTCTTCAAAACAATTTCAGAATTACATAGAATTAGTTGTATCTGAACTCAGAGGCAATGAAGATGAAGTTCTGGAAAGCATTGTGGAATTTCTGGTGAATGCTTTAGATAGGAGCCATATTGAGAATCTAAGGAATTGTGCCAGACGGAAGTGGCTGCGCCAAATTCAACATGCTGCAGAAACAAGTGGGGTGTCCCTGGAACCAGTGTATACTGAGACCTTTAAGGCCCTCACTCAGGTATGTTTTCTAATGTTATATATAAGAAGAAACATTTCCTCAAGGTGGGTGATGTTCAATAGTTGCAAAAGAGGAATATTGCATTCTCTTGTAAAATCACTGGGTGCTGCTATAGATGTTTTCATTCTAGTACATTACAAATGACCCAAGACTTAGGAGAGATGTAACTGGAATGATTGCTGGTTAGAAAACAGGAGCAGAGAGGCAAGGTAGAAAAGATAGGTGTAGAAAAGATGCCATGGGATTTCTAATTTCATTTGTGCTGAGAGTCAAATAAGCCTGCAATAGACAGTCTGATAATGAAAAATATACCAGTAAAGAGATGTTTGAGCAGTTCAAGCTACATTTCCCTTGCATGATATTTTGGGAGTCAGTTTTAAAAGGGACTGTTTAAATCAAAAATTCATTATAGCATAGAGTTCAACATCATACAACGTTTCACAGAGTGCCTACAAGCAAGCTGAAACTATTACAGAATTCTGTCACTTAGAACACACGACCCTGAGGGGCCACTGCCCACAGCTTTGCCACCTCCTCAGAGACTCTTGGATTGCTGCTCCTCCCAGGTAGAAAGAGCACAGCTACCTTCTACATCTATCACAAATTCCATTGATCCAGGGAACTTATGCCTGTCATCTCAGCTAAAAAGCTCAATGGAATCATTTCCTGAATGGCTGAATTTTCCAAAGTAGTTGAAAATGGTGCACCAGGATGAGGAGATCACGTAAGAAAAAGGCAGTATTCTAACTTGCTGCAAATATCTGTGGTACTCCAAGAGAAGTCTCAGTCCATAGATCTTGTATTTGGAAAGGAGGAATAAAGGCAAAAGAAAACGACATGAAAAGCAAACCCAAATATACAGAAAGAGAAGACAAATACCAAGGAAATGATCTCTTGTGTCCTCAGTTTATGGATATGTTCAACACATAATATTGTTAATAACATAATATTTTAGATTCAAAGAATTTTCATTAGAGATAATAGTTGCAGAAAGTCTGCAGTCTTGGACCTCAAGAAATCCTTTTCTGAAATGACACAGATCAAATATCCAAAGTGTGTTAAGGATTTCTTAAAATCATTTTTTTTCACATTCATATATTGTAGATAGTCAAGAACTATGAATGAAACAAAGGCCTCTTCTTAGTCCAGCTCTCTAAAATCTTTTAACCGAATAGATAAATACTTTTAACTGAAGCCCTGATAACTTGACTACAGTTCAAAGGAATCCAAGATTTAAATCTCTAAGTTTGAGTAGATTTGAGAAGTTTTTTGTTTTGTCTTTGTTTTTCCAGTAAACCAGTTTAGTTGGCATAGAGCAAATCCATTCCACTCACTAAAACTCAACTTTAGGGGACAGATGTGACATTAGTCTTCTCCCCACTGCCAGTGAATGGTAATATCTGCATTATTTATTCAGAAAAATGAAATTATTGGGGCCAGATGCACAAATTAACTGGTGAAGGGAGACATGATTAGGGAGTTCTTTAGCTGTTGCAAATTCATGGTCAGAAGTGTTTTGCTGTAGGATGCTGAAGCCCATGGAAATAAGAAGATCAGTGCTCACATTTCCCTCTTAGAAGAAAACCAACTACTGCCTGATAGAGGGAACATTCTGTTGAGAAATGTGGCTTGTACCTTAGATGATGCTCCGTTTGTCCTGAACAAAGTGCTCTACAGGGACATGAAGGGAATCAGGTAAGAACTTATGAAAGAGGTTGGTTTCACCCTTCTAAAAAATAATTTTCTTTCTGAAGTAAATTAGTATCAAAATCCTAGTTAGCCACTCACAAGAGAAATATCCCAAGTTACCAGTGCTTCTAGAGTGGGAGCTTCCAGTCCAGGATGATTTCACTTGATCATTCCCAGAGCTCACTCTTTGGCGATGATTCACCACATAGGGACTCATTTATTTCTGCCTGCTCTATCAGTTGTTGTGCCTCCCGAGTCCTGTGTATATGTTTTCTCTGTTTAAATCTAAGTTTGTTTTTTAAATCTTTCTCAAGTCCCACCCGCCAAACTGGTAATCTTACCTGAGTCCACTTCTCTAGTATAAAATACCAATGATTGTGAATAGAGAACTTATCTAGTTTCCTCCATGGTTTAATAAAAATCCTCCCCTTGTGCCTTTCTCTCATTCTCATATTATTTTTCTTCAGTTTTACAGTAGTGGATGAAGGGAAGCCAATCCACGTACCCCAGGTTCAGCACCATGGAAACATCTTCTTCTGGAACCAATCTCGTGATAAGGATGATTATAATGGGTCATTCCTGGCTCTGCCTCTTCAAGATGCACATATGAGGATATTTGGGGTTCTGGCTGTGGACACCCTTAGAGACCCCCATGAAATAAATATCTTCCTACCTCATGAGATCAGATTCTATCAGGTAAGCCATAGAAGTTTTCAAGAGTAAAGGCTGGATTGCCTCTCCTTCTATACTTTTTAAAAAGTGAAATCTGAATTCAGATGAGAGTACAGCTGTGTATATAGACAGTGTCATCATTCTTGCTCCTTTTCTCTACATATATGTTTCAGTCTTCGGAGATGTTCCCCATTATTTATGGAAGAAAGAACTCTCAGCCTCAGTTGCACATCCATGACTCAGCCTTTCTGGGAAGATTGTTAATATGTGTCCCATAGCATTAATTATGGGAATAGGATTTTATGTTATAATTATTCACAGTAGCAAAAACATGGAATCAACTCAGATGCCCCTCAAAAGTGGACTGGATTTTTAAAAAGTGGTACATATACACAATGGACTATTACATAGCCATAAAAAAAGAACAAAATCATGGCCTTCACAACAACACAGATGCAGCTGGAGATCATCATACTAAGTGAACTACCACAGAATCAAAGAACGGAATACTGCGTGTTCTCACTTATAAGTGGGCCCTGATCACTGGTCATACAAGCACAAGGGTGGGATTGGCAGATGCTGGACACGCTCGGGAGTGGGTGCAAAGGGAGGGAAGAGGTAGGGGGCATATGGTAACACATTGGGTACCAGGTTCACTATCAGGGGAGAGAGGGCCAGCTAGAAACCCAAACTTCACCTGCATGCAACTTATGTAGTAAATCCTCACTTGTACCCTACCATTTTAAAATAAAATAAAATAATAAAGCTGACATGAGCTTGCTATCAATATTTTTAAAATGTTAGCCATAGAACAGAAATCTAATCGTTAGACCACTGACTGATACCCACAAAGTAGGAATGAACTTTTAGGTGGGACATATTTGTGTTTCATTAATAGTAGTACCTAGAAATCCTTTGTTCTTTCCATAAATGGTGCTAAATATGATATGCATCGCCATAGGTCTTGATTTCAGTGTTATAATTTTTGAAGATGATGAATTTTAAAAAATGTAAATGTTTCTTGAGTATTCATGTTTTCAAGTTAGATCTTTAAAAAGATAGGCACTTTTAAGACTATAAAATAGCTAGGCCATTTCTAGAAGCATTTTGGGTTAATTTTATGGATAGAAATTGCAATGAAAGAAGATTGAAAGCCTTTATGGAGAAAATGAACTGTGGGGTATGGCAGCAAGTCAGGAACTTACTATACCCTTATCATTTGTTCCCCTGTATGCCTCTGGTTCTTTATGTTTATTTGCTGTTAATTTTCATTTTCTCTTCCCACTTACTGAGTAGATAACTGAGGAAAGGGGTAGAATCTCTTTCTCTGGACATATTTTTATAAGATTCATTCCCATCTGACATAAGAATAATGTGAAGATATTAAGTAAAATGGAGGAGAATAGAGTCATCAGTAGGTGAACTATATATAGTCTTGTTAGAGAGGATGTCAAAATGAATTATAAACAGACTCTCTAGCCCTTGGAAGTAAAGGCTTCTGGATTACAGTTAGATATAAAATATCTATTATTTTGTAGAACTTGTGGTTCCTAAAGTTTCTTACCTACAAGCCCACAGATGGGTTCTAAGGATTTCCCATCCCTTCTCTGTGGAACAGGTCTCTTTATGCCTATGGGAGGACTGTGTAATCTAGCCTGTTTCAGGCCTCAGACCCAAACATGTCCCATATTGTTAATCTAATAACAGTAGCCATGTATTGATGCAAACATTAACACTGGCATCAGATCAGTCAGCTCCTACCTATCTGACCAAGGCTGGCACTAGTTCTTGGATTTTAAACGTTTTTTTCTTATTTCAAATTTTATCTTGTTCTTCCAGCACTATTCTTTAACAATGCAGGTCACACATTTCACTGAATAAGTATTAGAAAGCATAAAAAGTCATGTGGCTCTCTCTACACCTTTGATTTCTTGATAATCCTTTCTTCATAATAGAATATGGAAATATTGCCTTTTGAAGGACTGAATAATAATTTGTTGGAAGTAGATTTTCATTAATTAAAAAGATAATCCAATTAATATTATTAATTACTTTGATATTTTAAAAGAAAAGGCAATTTGAATTCTCGATCTCTACAGGGCGTTGCCAATGTCTTTAGCACTGCCTATCACTACGTTCACAGCCGGGAGCACATTCTGCATATTGTGATCACTGGCATCGGCTGGCTCTACAACATCACATCTGGCATCACCTCCATCACTACTTACTTTGTAGAACCTAGCCCAGATAAGGTAGGCAAGGTTCAGCAGTGCTAGAGCTCTCCAAGGTAATAGAGTTTCTAGATGTGGTTGAATTGATAATATTTTAAAACCATATTAATTAGCTATTGCTCTAACTTGGCACACAGTTCCCATGGCACCAACACAAGATCCTTCTTGGTTGCGAGTGACAGGAATCCATCTCAAACTGCCTTAAGCAAAAGAAAGAACTGACTGACTCACGTGCCCAAAATGAAGAAAGGGCAGGAGTCAAGCTGGCTTCCAGGATGAACAGATCCAAGGATTCGAAACCATCAGGGCTCTCTTGTATTCTACATCTCTCTACTTCTCATGTTTGTTTCCCTCTGCATGTTGGTTTTGTCCTTCCAGCTAAAGATGGGCTTTTTTCATGTGGCAAGTCAGATGCTTAGTAAAAGCTGCAATTTGGAAGCCTCAAGAAAGAAAACTCTTTTTGACCCATCCTGACATACGTTCCCTTAGCCTTGGTGAGAAGTTTATTATAAGAGGTAACACCCATCAGAACCATCTGGATAAAGTGGGAAAAGATGAGGGGGCTGCTGTTTTCAAAGGACACACATTACACCATTTTTTTTGAAGTCCCTCATCTATAATGTGATGAATTATTGCTGGATATTTGCTTTGTTTCTTTATACTTAACTCTAATATTAGGGTTTTTCATATGATAAGAATGTATAGAAAAGTGTCTTCCTTTCAAAAAGGATAAATGACTCTGGGAAGTTCTTGATGGTGTCCCCTTGGTTGTCTCCCTGTCCCTTGGCTGGCTCATGGCAAGTACCTCTCTGCTTCCCTCCAGGCTTCTTCTTTTCCTTCCTCCCCACCAGATCCCTGCTTCACTTTCTCAGTGGCTGGGTCAATATGATAGGGCCTTGAACAAAGAGAGTAGAATCATGGAATTCTCTGGTAGGGTGGCCAGACTGTGGGGACAGAGAATGCTTTGAAATTGGCAACGCTTTTGAGGGTGTAAATTAGAACCTACAAGTACCCTCAGTACTGGGGCAGACCACCTTACTTGAAGGGCCACTGTTGCATAGGGTCAAAGCATGTGGGATCTGGGGAGGATTCAGAAGAGCTTTGTTGGAGCCTTAAGGGAAACAACACATGGGGCATCATGGAAAAGGCCAGAATTGCCCAGAGCAATTAGCAAGAAGCATAGCTTCAGAAGAAGAAGCATAGTTTCAGAATCAAGACTACAGACAAAGCCACAAGGTTCACATCTGACCCAGGCCATCTTATGGTGGTGAAGAAGATCATGCTGAAGGTGGGGAGAGAGGGAGACCACCCATCAGCCTGGATCTGAGTAAGGTCATGGCAGGGAAGAGACCAGAACAGTCTTCCAATGCTATAGCTGGGTTTGTCCTAGGTAGAAGACACTGTGGTGAGGTTTGGTGTTAAAAATGACTGAGAGGCTGGGTGCAGTGGCTCAAGCCTGTAATCCCAGCACTTTGGGAGGCCGAGGTGAGAGAACTGCCTGAGCCCAGGGTTTCGAGACCAGCCTGGGCAACTTGGAGAGACCTTGTCTCTATAATAAATCAAAAAATCAGCAGGGCATGGTAGCGTGCGCTTGTAGTTCCAGCTACTTGGAAGGCTGAGGTGGAAGGATCACCGGAGCCCAGCAGGCCAAGGCTGCGGTGGCTGTGAGTGTGCCACTGCACTCTAGCCTGAGCGACAGAATAAGACTCCAACTCAAAAAAAAAAAAAAAAAAAAAGATGACTGAGGGTGGCTGTAGAGACAGCTTTTTTCAAGCACTCAATTATCTTAACTTCCTTAACCTTCCCTTTTCATTTCTGCAGCATCTCCAAAACCACTTTCCTCTCTTCTCCAGCCTGCTTTATGCCTCACACAGTAGACAGTATCTATGAGTGCCCTGGCCCTTTGACTTTTGGTTGTGTTTGTCCAATGAAAGTTGCCAATAGGAAGTTGGAGGGTAGTGGGGTATTGATGCTTCTGGCTCACTCTCTCCCGGGTTGCTGTGGGTTGGGTGTGTTTGTGTACTAAAGGGTACTTCACCTTTAGTCAGGTGGTCCTCTCTGTACAGCTTTCCCTCCAGGTCCTGGTAATTGCTTCCTCTTCTTGCCTCTTCAGGTTGTGTGGTAACAGCCCTTCATTATTACTAGACCAGGATTCTAAAGACTGCCCAAGCCTTCATAAATCATCCCTTTATTCCCCTAAATTACCCAGTTCTGGCATGTCATCTGTTTCTTTATGACACCTTGATTCAGATTATCAAGTAAATTCTGAGATAACTCCACTTCACCTCATGTCCATGTTCCCATAAGGTACAGAGACATAGAAAAAAAGGTATTACTCTGTTGACAATAGTCATAGATAAAGGAAAATAGAGGATCAAATTATCTTAGGTATGAAACTTGGGCTATTTAAGCTAATCGCTTAAAAGCACCTATGTCTAACTATTTCTTTGTAGTACTGAACTTATTAAATAAGTAACTGGGCTGAGCGTGGTGGTTCATGCCCCTAATCCCAGCACTTTGAGAGGCTGAGGTGAGAGGATTGGTTGAACCCAAGAATTTAAGACCAGCCTAGGTAATATAGGGAGACCTTGCCTCTACAAAAAGTAAAAAAAAGAAAAAAAAAGTTAGCTGGGTATAGTGTTATGAACCTATAGTCCCAGCTACTGAGGAGACTGAGGCAGAAGGATCCCCTGAGCCCAGGAGTTTGAGGCTGTGGTGAGCAATGGTAGTACTCTTGCACTTTATCCTGTGCGACAGAGTGAGATCTTGACTCAAAAAAAAAAAAGTAACTGTGGTAGACAGACTAATCCCCTCCAACTTCAGAGACGTCCGTGTCTTAATTCCTAGAACCAGTGAGTATGTTACACACGGATTTTGTAGATGTTATTAAGATTAAGAAATTTGAGGCTGGGCTTGGTGGCATAGCCTGTAATCTCAGCACTTTGGGAGGCCGAGGCGAATGGATTACCTGAGCCCAACCTGGGCAACTTGTCTCTACAATAAATCAAAAATTAGCCAGGCGTGGTAGCACATGCCTGTAGTTCTGACTACTTGGAAGGCTGAGGCGGAAGGATCGCCGGAGTCCAGCAGGTCAAGGCTGCGGTGGCTGGGAGCGTGCCACTGTACTCCAGCCTGGCTGACAGAGTGAGACTCCAACTCAAAAAATAAATAAATAAAATAAAACAAATCCTGCTTTCTCAAAAAAAAAAAAAAAAAAGAGAGAAAGAAAGAAAGAAAGAAATTTTGAGAGGCAGAGATTATAATGGATTATCCAGGTGGGCCCAATCAAATCATATGAGTCCTTAAAAACAGAGAACCCAGCCGGGCTCGGTGGCTCAGCCTGTAATCCTGCGCTTTGGGAGGCTGAGGTGAGT